GGAGATCATTAGCAAATAAAAAAGGGAGAAACTTTAAATCTAGTTCCAATTATGTTTATGTGTGCATCACAACGAGCATAATTAAGGTTGGAGCTGGAGGTGAAGCTCCAGTGTGTGATGCGCTAGAGTATAATTGAAAGGATTGAGTGACGGATTAGAATCATTGCTTGCAGCAGGAAAAGCAGTGTGATTTGCATGTGTGTTCATACTTCAAGCTTTAATAAAACAGTAGGGAAACACTGTAGATGTTCCTGAGTACGCTGCATACAAGTTTTCAGTAGGAAATATATGCTTGACTGTCATTCTGAATACTGACAGATCAGACTGAACAAAAGGATCTGGCTTTCAGTCCTCCATGTAGAAGATGATTGTTTAGGTTGCTATTCTGTCATACATTGCTTGTCAGTCCTGTCTCTAGTTTCTCAAGCTTCCCCGACACAGTGTGTTTAGTCAGCATGAGCTGTTGTTAGAATGATCTTTACAGCCTGAGATACCTGTTCTGAACTCTCATGTTGCTTATACAAGTCCTCGGCAGTGTTGATTCATGAAGGGAAGGAACCATCATCACAGTTACAGAAATGGTGCTGGATTCTGAAGCAGTCTAGAAACAGTAAAGATCGTGAGCACTAAAGGCAGTATAGCACAAATAAATTTAATTCAAAAGTACTAGGGTTACAAGGAATCAGTGTTTGTCAACATTATTTTATTGTATCCCAGCAACAAAAAGCTTAGTCATGTTATGTCCAGATTATCTTTTAAATTGTATCACAACTAAAAAAATGTTAGTTTAGAATAAATTCCTCACTTCAGATATGGGTACTAAATTAAACATGAGCAGTGGGAAAAGTCTAGTAATCCTGTTACTAAGCAGCAATATCAGTAATGAAAATACTTTAGTGGATACCTTAGAGTAATTAATCACTTTAAGAGATCTGAAATACTCTGCTTTAAACCTACAGTTACCAGAAGCAGCTGGATATATTTAGCGTAAGATTTCCATAGACTCATCATTTTCCCTACAAGTTTTTCCATCTACTATCTACTTTCTCTGTAGTTATCTCTAGTTCAGCATCTTACCAGAGAATTCCCTCTTATTATGTACAAAACTAAATGTAAAGAAGAGATGTTTAATGCAAGTACAAGTTAGCTTATTGGTGTCAGAGACCTCTCTGAAAGGTAACACAGGGATTTTAAGACACTTGTGTATCTTCACTGAGTTTCAGGAAGACGTAATGTGTTTTAAAAGCTACATGTAAGTCAGTCATATTTCTTATACAATGTTGTGGACAGAAATTCGCTGCAAGGAACAGTCTAAATCAGGTTATATAACTAACTTAAAAAAGTAGTAGTGCACTAGCTGTGAATTTTAAAGAAGCTATGTTGACCCTATAACTATTGTTTCTTATAGTGTGGTATCTTGAGAAACTGCTGAGAGACGCTGATCAGCTCCTTTATCAACAACAGTTGTGCAGACTACCATATGTGAACTATTTCACCATGGGTTAGTAAGGACTTTCTCTAAAACAAATTAATTCTGGCTGTTCTGTATATGCCCTCACTGTTGAAATAAACCATGGTATAGCAAGCGTTTTATTTCTTTATTGAAGTGTTTTGCACTGACCAAGAAGACAAGAACAATTTCAACTTTTAAAATAAAAAGACAGCCCATGATAGGTATTATAAACCCTGGCTGATAGCTTCACTTCTACAGTATGCTACCCACAGTGTAGCACAGTGGATTTATAACTACAGCATAAAATAATAATAATAAAAATAAATTGTTATATTCAGGGTCTATGGATGCAGACTCATGTGCAGTATCAATTTCCAGTACTAGATGACTATAAATTTACATTCTTAGGGATCAATGATGTCCAATAATATCAGGTCAATGGGAAACTACTACTATGATTTCTTCATTTGTTTTTCTATACCATTTCTTTCTGCCAACTGAGAATTTTAGCTGAACCTGTTTTGACCAATTTGTTTCAGAGCTAAAGTCAGCAATAGTAACAGCTTTTTTTGTAAGTGGTTTTTATATGATTTTTTTATTATTAATATTTCATTAAAATTACAGGGTCATGAATTAAAGGAGTTTTCACTCAATAAAAGGACATGAAGAAAAATTTTCATGTTCTCTGTAAGTTCTTTAATTATAGAGATTGTGAGTATCTAGGAGAGCAGGTTACATCCTCTGCCCTGATTCATTTTTCCATATTACAAAATCTAATATTTAGGTTCATTATATACATCACTTAAGAGATATTCTTAATTTTATTATTTGTCAATAGTCACTTTATACAATTAAATATATACCCATTCTCAAATGTCAGCTTGCAAAATCATTAATATAAACCAAAGTTGAATTAATAACACAAAAGAGGCCTGAATGTTCTGTTTAATGTGAAGATTTATTTTCTTTTCTTACTCAAGTAAACTAAAATTATGTATATTATCATCACACATTAACTTATTGCAAAACTGCATCATGTTAGTGATCTTCAAGGGGATTTTTTTTCCAGGTATCCCAAAACAGAACTAACTGGTAGGAGGACTGGTCTGTGATTAAATTGAGAAGCAAAGGTCTGTTCTATCACGCTTGTTTTTGTATTAAAACTTCACCATGATCTTCATTTACAATAGTGATACCCAAACTAACCATATGGAAAGAAAGAGTTGAAACATCCTCTATGAAGAAAAGTTAGGCACTTGTTGTTTTAGTGTAATGAAAGGTGCCCCATGTATTTCTGAGCTGCTGGATTTTTTTGCTTTAATACCTTGCTTAGCTAACCTGAATGCTAGGCCAAGTTGTAACTATGCTTTATAAAGTGTTGGTTTTTGTCCTGCATTGGTCAGTTAGGTAGAAGGCTTGCTGTCTGCTATTTCTAAGTACTCTCGAAATTAAACTTTCTTGTGTTTTCACTAATACAATTCATTCTGAACAAAATCCATTTAGATGTGCTCATTATGTATAAAGTAAGTGGTTTCAGCAAGGAAGAGATGTTAAAGGTTTAAATATTAAGGTATCAGTGAAAACTCGGGGAACTTCTGGCTTTAGTTTTCTTGTATTTTTAAACTTCCTTTTGTTTTCACAGCTGTTCTTACTACTTTGAAGAAAAATTGTTTCAAATATCACCATGGCATTTAAATAAGATCATTTAACTTTTAAAGCAGTCAATCATGGAATTATTTTGGGTCAGTACTGAGCCTCTACCTTGTATTGTTCTACAAAGACATAACATGTTATATAGTGATAACAACGAAGAATTCATTGTCAGATGATTAAGAGAAGCAGCTGGTAGATGCTGTCTCTCTCCTGGCCTTTTGGATGAGTAATCCACTAATAAAGGTGTCAGTTATGAAGAACAACTTTAAAAATAACTACAAAAATATTCCAATATTTATAATACTAATAACAAACAATATATTGGGATGTAGTAATTTTAAAACTGTTAAATAATAATTTTTCTCACTTAGGTTTAGTTTATAAGGAACTAAAACATGCTTCCTTTGTTTTGTGTTAATACACTGTAGACTAGAGTGCTTATTCCCCATTTGTGTTGTTAAATCAGTGAGACTGTTTTTCTACTTAAGTATATGTGTACTATGATATAAATATACCTGACTTCGTGCCAAGTACCAAATCACAGTACAAAGGACTCTCTCATCTATTGCTCATCCTTTATAATATAGTTCTGGTCAATCTCTTCAAAGCCTATAATACAATCATTCAGGGACAGTCATGAAACACCTGAGGCAGTCAGGCCTCCCATTAACTGCTGCTGATAGCAAAGTGCCTAAGTCTTGTTTATCAAGTAGTACAGTAATTGTATTTCAAAATAAAAGGTAGCCTTTCTGATGAGCATAATCTTAAAATAAAATGTGGCAATCTAAGCACAGCAAGTCAAAGTGTTCAGTGTGTATTTATTTAGGGACATCCTGAGAAAAAGGCTGTGGTTTGACCATTTGGGAATAGCTATTAATGAACCTTGTTCCTTTGTGAGACAGCTTATATTCTGAGTTTCAAAAGCTTTTTTTGATTATGAAGTCTTTGATTACAGATATTTGGCTAATATAGATAGTAGCAACTTTTTTCCCCTAAATCTACTATCTGATCATTTGATTAGATATAGCATATATGAATTCATATTTATGTATAACAGGATGGGCCTTTTAAGGGACCCACTCTAAGCAATGTGTTTAGTTTGAAATAACTGTAGATTCTGGTAGACATAAGTAACGTAGATGGTAGTTAATGGATGGGAGAGAGAGGCACCTTTGGAGGGTGAGTGATCTCAGTTAACAAAGATGTTCACACATCAGGGTGAATTGCTTTGGCAGGTTGTGTGAAATACAGACGACTAACCCAAACTACAGACATAATGTGGTTAATATTAAGGGATAGGAAATTGTTTATAAAAGTCATCCCATGTCTCTGTGTTTCTCTTTATTCTACTGTGGCTGTTATTTCAGATACTTACAAATACATCAAATGTTCAAGACATGGGAACACATTGAAATTGTGTATTGGTACAATGATATTTCCTTTTTGTTTAGAAACTGGAGAGGTGTATTGGGTTAATTTCTATTTCATGTGCTGAATAAACAGGAAAAAACAGGTGGTCTGGTTCAGGATTCAAGCTATTGCCAGTTGTTTGTGAGTATTAACATCAGAAAACGTTTTTTAAAAGTCATTCATTTTTTGTTTTAACAAGGCTGCTTACAACCAAAAGAATTAGTTCAGCCACATTTGAATTAAGGAATAGTGCAAAAAAAAAAAGTACATCTAATGACACTTGAAAAGGAAATCAATAAAAAATACACTCAGGAATCAAAGCTGATTTTTTTTTCAGAAAAATTGCTGTACTGATTGTCATGAAGTATGTTGATGTCACTGTCACTATGACAACATTGTGACAAGAACTAGACACACTAGGCTACCTTGTAAAAAGATCTTTCATTTATTTTTTTTTGTATAAAAAGTAATAGAAATGAGAACCTCTCCCCTAGAACAGGGTTTCATTTAGGGTGAGATGATTTGTTATAGGCATTGAATCAAGGTTTCGTGATCAAGTGACAAGATAGCTTTTGAAGACAGGTAAGAGCAACACATTCAAATACAATATGCTTTTACTTTTCATCTAGTAAAAACAAGGAGAAAAAAATTTGCATTATCTGGAACACAAACATTTGTATGCAGAAAACTAATGTTTTGACATATTTCTCAAAAGTATTGCAGGACTTTATGTCTGAGGATGTAAGAAGCATTTGGAAGTAGAGTGTGTATGATGTAACTTTTAAGAGGATGGGGCTTTTTTCCATATGTGATTCTTTCTGTCCTTTTAATTAAAATGATCTCTCCATCATTATCTATTTTTGGTTCTGTATTATTTTAATTAAGCCACAGAATCCATTGTGTACTACATTTCTTTCTTATTTTTTTAATCATATTTTACTATCCATAGACGTTGTTTATTTTCTCCTTGTGTATTTTCTCCTTGTGTACCTGATCTATACTGTCTCATAGATTTTAATGTTTGTGTTTTCCCACATAAGAGGTACTGCACTGGTGTCAACTGGTGTCACATAACGTCAGAAAATTGCAGTCTTTAGAAATACCACAATATTAACAATAAATATTTTCTGTGTTTGGTAATCTACATGTTACTTTCTGTTGAAAATCTGTTCATTAACCATATGCCACCTTTTTTCTTTTTTGCCTTTTTTTTTTTTTAATTTATTATCTGTTTAGAAGCAGAGTACCAAAATTATATCAGCATGGAAATACACCTAGATAAATTTTTCTCAGAGGTATTTGAATTCCTAGTAAATCCTAAATGGACCAAAAACTCCTATGGGGAATCCTTTGCATGTTTGCTTTGCTGTCTTTTAACTGTGCAAGTTGAGCAGATTTATTAAGCTCTGGCTCTCTTGATAGTGATTTCAGTTAAAAAATTTTACTGGTGTTGATTTCTAAACATGCTCAAATATAGTTATCTTAGAGTGATCATTACTTCAAAAGAGAATTTTAGTCATTTATCAAATACAGCATTCAGACATTAATGAAAACTATGATGATTTATAAGTTTCCTTTTTCCATTAATATATTGTTCTGTTCTTTAATTATTTACCAAGTGAGACTAATTTAATTGAAAAACTCTAAATCAAAAAGTTATTATTTAGCTAATATATTTTGCTGAGACATAACTAAAAAATACAGTGTTGTGGCAAGACATGCACGTAGAGTTTGAGGACAGGCTTAAGTATTCAGGAGTTTAAAAGCAATCCCACCTGAGGGGAAAAACTATTAGAGTAACAGCAGTAGTCATTGCACCATTGGTGCTTAATATCAAGTTCTATCTTCTCTAAATATAGGCTTTAAAAATTGCTGTTATAATGTGGAGCCCAATGCACATTATCTTGAAAAACCAAACAAAATCAACCAATCTAGCAAAAATTTCCCTCCTGTACACGCATCAAAAAGGATGAGGTCCTGAGTGGGTTAGCTGCTTCCTTCCCAGTCATTTAAGTGCATTTAAGTCTTCTCCATCATAACTTGTTAGATACTTACTTTAAAAGGATTTTAAGCTTGAATGAAAGTTCTCTTGAACATGCAGGTTGAAGAAATGTAGGTGCTGTTGCAAGCAATGATATGCATGCTATGAAGAAATCAGGCTGAGCATTACTAAGTAAGTGGGGGTTTTCTGTTGGTCTTTTGGGGTGTTGGTTGGGGGTTTTATTTATTTATTTTGTGTGCTTGGTTTTTTTTGTTGAGGAGCTTGGAATATTTAAACTTTCATATCATACGTATCTCACTGACTGTGAATTACTTATATATGTATTTTTCCTTGGCTATTTTTATACTTACTGATGCTAAGGGATTATTTAGAATAACAGTTTTACTTTTTAAAGAGTTTAATTTTTTATAGTAGCAACTTCAATTTTAAATTAATCGCATTTTGGCATTACCTCAGATCAATCCTCACATAACAATCATCCATCCACAAAGGGGAAATTGCAAGTTCCTTTCAGATTGCTTTTAATACTCTTCCATGATTGCCTCTTCAAAAATAAATGGGAAGATGATCCTCTGTTTCAATTTCCCACTCAGCTCTGGAGTAGATTCTTTTAATGTGTTGGATTCTTCATACAAATCTGCACCTTTTTAGAGAAGTAGTTGAGAAAGGAATGTGACTATGTTTCTTTTACAGATGGCAGATTTGCTTCCAGTGTTCTAGTCTTCTGAAATAGTTGAGTGGCTAAAAGGAAAAGTATTTTTTCCTTGTGTTAGTATATTCTATTTCAACCTGACATCTCCTCTGTGATGAGATGGAGGAAAGTAAAACTGAGCATTTTTATTATGAATACCATGTTTCAATGAAACCTGTAGAATGTGTAATGGAAAACTTGAAAAATCAGAAATAATGGATACATTTTCTGTTGTTCTGGTTACCAACAAAGGCTTTGGTGGCACAAATGTTGCATGCTTTTTGTGCTGCAGGAACATTGAGGCAGCTGCTGCATGCTGGGCAGTACATACATATGCAATCAAGTAAAGGATCCCAATGAACTTTGCACTTAATTAGAATGCAGATACATACTGTTGCTAAAAATTTTTTCCTTATAAGGGAAGAATTATTATTCCAGATATTGATGCATTAATAATTACTGAAGGGTCTGAAAAAAACAGGCAATAGTTATATTAGTGAACTGCTTCTTCTCTGCTTTGTACAGTTTATTTATTGCTTCTGACTCAAAACCTGTAAAGCATTGTCATTGTAAGGATTAGTTAAGGTTTGAGATAATGTTGAACACTTTCACTGTGTATCTGTTCCTCAACCCTTTTGGTGTGGTAGCATTTGCGTGTGTACAGCCTCATCCAGAATGTAGGCATCTTAATAGTTTGTCTTGCCAGGGCTGTTTGTCAAGGGTGTGAAAAAGTTTCTCAGTCAGATTTGAATAATTATTTCTGTAGCACAGTATTTTTTGTATATAAATCACATCACCCAATCTCCTTTCTTCAGAGAAAAGATACAGGTAACATCAGTAATACTGACAATAGATATAAAGGCATTCATAAATAAAGAAAACAAATAAGCCCTTTTATTGTTTGAATAATCTTCTTGTTCCTCTCAGTGCATATAGGCAGCAACTTTTCCCAAATATTTGTGTCTCCTCCAAATCTAAAAAGTAATGATTGATGTATGCTATATTGCTATTGATGAATCAGTGCAAAATCTGCCATATATAATTTGACATGACATAGGTCAGAATCTGATAAAGAGCCTTTCCACAACTCAGTCCTACCAGCACTGGCTTCTTGATACTATTGTCTTATTAGAGATGTGTACTTATAAGGGGTACTTTAACCCAGTATATATCCCGCTTTAAGAAAGTTATGAGACCAATATAATTTTTAAATAATAGCAATGAAAAATGTATTTTGAAGTAGATTGTCTTTTGAAAAATCTGTGAGAACTTAAAATTTATATGGTGCTTTACATGTTTAAAGCCCTGTGTAAGCACTAATTAGTTTTTCACCTCTAGCTTGTAGCTAAACATCATACCAATTTTATGACCTGGAAAACTGGGAGAGCAAAAATTAACAATGTAGTGAAAGACCCAAAGCAAATGTGAAACATTCCAGATAAGATTTTAGGAAATGTACTCCCAAAGCTATCAACAGCCATATAGGGTGACATAACTCTTAGATTAAAATTTTGACCATAGTCTTGCTATAAAGGAATTAAAGTAAGAATAGGTATAAAATATTTAGCATTTATGATAGAAAATGTTATTTTAAAGGGAACATTTATAATGTATTCTATGTTGTCAGCAATGTGGGTTTTTTATTTGGGTCATTTGGATGGGGGGGTTCTGTTTATTGAAATACTATAATTTCACCAGTTTCATCAATGATTTGTTTTGATAACAAATAAATAATGAGAAACTATGTTTGCCGTACTACCTATCAGGTTTTCTTCTTAAGTAGATACAAAGGCTTTTGGATAGCCTAATTGCAGTAAAGGTGAATTAAATTTTTGATTAATTTTATGAATTACCTTTGAGGGATTTTTGCTTAAAAATGAGCTTGCTAGCCAGGTAGGCTACTAGAACTTGTCTCATGTTCAGTCCTCTTTATATTTATCAATTTCTGTGAACTGCTAAGGAGAATTTTTTACAACAGAAACTACATGACATTTTTTTCATTTTTTTATGTGTGAAAACATTCTCACAGCATTGTTGCAGAAATAAACCATAATTTCACTGACTTTTTTTTTTTAATTAATAGAAAGTTTTTTCAGCTTGAGTTTCCATGGAGTCTTTGTTGTTTTTCTTTCTGAAGTTTTCTTACACAGAATACATTTCTGTTGTGCTACATTTCAGCTTAGTTATCTCAAAACGAGAATCTGGGAATTACTGAACAGTGCACAAGTAAATTATTAAATTACCTCATCTGCTAATAGCAGACTCACTATGAGCACATTTTATTTGCTTTCCATATTAAACACACTATATCAGGAACTAAGGGTATCCACAGTGTGGTCAATAATGGATGACTCAATTTATGATCTATCAGGTTGCAACATACCCCATCCATGGTCAGTCCTTTCCCTCTCACAGGAGAACATCATTAGTCTTTCCCACCCTGTATTACAGCTGGAGCTGTTGTTAGTCTCTTAACTATGTAACTAGATACGTATTTTCTACAATTTATGCTATTTATATGCACGTGTGAAAATCATGTTGCAGTACACTCAATTATCTTACATATTTAAGTGCATTTATTTAATATTAGTGTATTTTAAATGTCATGCTAAATAAACACCTGGATTCTTAATGCAGGTGTCTAGGAATTACATGCTCAGTATTTCCAATTTTTCCTATGTTTAATTACAACTGATGTATGAAATTACTGAGAAGAGTTAATCTTTGCCATTTTCCCATAAGATTTGCATTATGTTGTGGTCCTGACAGTTCATCGTAACAATGTAGTTCATCGTAATAACTCCTATGAAAAAATGGTTAATTTTTTCCTGTATATAATCTGTGCACAAAGAGCTTATAAGATATATTGAAATACTTTAAAGTCTTTATTTGGAACCTGTAAATACTGATAACTTCTGATCTGGTTCTGCATTTCTCCTGCTTGCTGTGGGGATTACTGCTGGAAGGTTTCCCGATCTTTTAGGTCGGTACCACTCAGAGTAAAGTCTTCTTGAAGAACTGTACTGTGTTAAGGAAGTATCCAATCCCTTCAAGTATTAGCTGTGTTGTGCTGTCTGGCTGGAAAAAGGGCTGTAGCAGCTCCATTGCTGCATTGGAGCAGCTTTGTTCCCCTTCATGGGCACATAGACAGAGCTTGTTTCAAGCAGACCACTGCAAAAGCAAGGATCTAGGAAAGATTATAGGATGACAATGCTCTCTGCATCTTGCTGTCTTTTGAAAATGTTATTTCATGAAATCTCAGAGAAATCGAAAAAATAAATTTGAAGGAAAACCTATTTTGAGATGGGAGTTGTGGTTGGACCTGTGACTTCTCTGAACTGACAGGTGTCTTTCAAAGGGTTCTGGGCTTTCCCCTTCTACAAAAGCAGAGAGAATATTAGTGGGTTGAATGTGTATTAACGTGACTTGTAATACATTCTTAGTAACAGAACAATGTAAATGTTTAGAGATTGAAGTAAAATATCAAAAACTGGGTGAAGGTATGCAGCTGGGTTAAGTAAGCTGATCAGGAAAAACCTCTGTTAGGAAAATAAAGTATTTTCACCTCTGAAAAAGAAAAAATGCACTGCTAAAGCATTGAATAAATAATCTTGACTTCAAAGTGAAAGGTTTTAAAGTATCTCCAAAATATGAAGTAATCAATAAAAACTTGAAAGGGGTTTTAAAGTAGAAATTATTTGTGTATATGCATGAGTAAATATCCATTCAGTTAGAAAAGGGAAAAGTAAACTTCATAAAGATTTGGGCTACCCATGACATAGTCAATATATCTTCTCTAAAACTGTTATGAGAACTCTGCACTGTTAGACAAAAATCTCAGCAACAAAGTGAAAATAAAAGTGGAAGGTTTTAGCCACAACTTACATAGAAAGAAAACCATGTTTGTCATTACAGATTATAAGAACTCACAAAGATAAGTTACAGAATAAGATGTGGTACACATGGTGACTTTCAGGTCATGTTGATGTTTTCTTCATAAAAGGGAGCCCTAGGACTTGCCTGATGCTCTGAGATACAGAGAAGAAAAAGGAAACTCTGATATAAAACAAATGTTTCATGGCATTTTATTTTGAAGCCTCAAAAATCAAGGTAAAGGAAATTCAGATGTTAATTTGTGCAAAATAGTGTACAAGTTTTGGTGCAGTTTGCTTTTGCAATTTCTTGTGCACAAAACAAATAAAAAAAAAGATAAAAGTAGTATCAGATGAAAGAACATAAAAGAAAAAAAAAGTATCTAATCACATATTTGAGAATGAGGCTGATGAGGTTTCATTAACCCTGATATAAGAAAAAAAATTTTGAATGGCTGACACTCAAACAGCACAAATTCTAAGTGCCAATATAACAGTGGAAATTTTTAGTAGATAAGAACCTGCTGTATTTGGTTTGCATGGCCAGGTTTTGGTAGCAGGGGGCTAGACAGGTGGCTTCTGTGAGAAAGTTGCTAGAAACACCTGCC